CAAGCCTACTGCTCTCCACGCGATCTAGTTGGAAACAGAGCATGTTGCGTGAGAAGAAATTCTAGGGTTGTATTTAGTAGACGGTAATCAAAGGTAGACTTCGAGCACCTCGCATGCATAGCGCTCCACAGAATTCAGGGTGTATTAAAATCCCCCATGAGAAAGACGTCCCTACCCCTAACGGAGAGGTAGTATTTTACGGAAGTATATTTTGGTGAGATGGATGGGGAAGAATGCCGTATCATGGGGCCAAAGAAATAGAAGGTTTAAAGATAGGATTTTAAAAATGATGCATATAATATGAGGAGAGACCTATACGTGAAGTCAGACCAAGGGGTTTTGAGAAACTATATACAGTGGGAGTAGACTTAGTTATCTGTGGGTCTGACAAACTGTCGGGTTGGGAAAAGTTACAAACTACACGGTTTCATGCATTTCAGACGCTGGCATGTTAGCAGGCTTCCCAACCGTGCTGCCTTTCTTAATTTGAGCATTCGGATTAGGAACAGGTAACGATTTCCTTAGAGTATTTTCTAGTCAGTTTTAAGTCAGTTTATTAAAGGAATGAGGCTTTCGCCCTTGAGCTCCCTATTCATATCGATAAACAGAAATAAAGTCATCAATTACATCAGCAAATGCGGAAAGTTAAAAAATTAGCAGTAAGTGTGAGCCAGGCGCAAACTGCCGCCGCTAAAACAATCGTTATTGTATGTACAGTAGTTTCTCAACAAATAAGAATCTAGTCTACATTTGAAGGAATCGATACTTTCGGAAAGAACCACTACATCAGGGAGTCCGTTCCATGCCCCAATGACCCTGTGAGAGAAGGCGTTCCGTCAGACGTCCGAATGGGCCAGCTTCCTCTGCAGCTTGAAGGGATGACCACGCAGGCGGTCAGTCCCGGCCATTTCGAAGAAGTCATCAAAGTCTAGGGCACACTCACGACCTCTGACAATCCTGTAGGTTTGAATGAGATCGCCGCGCAGTTGCCTGTAATTTAGAGGAAACAGATTTAGTTCGGTCAGCCTGGTTTCGTAAGGCAGATGATGAAGATACTTGACCATCTTCGTAGCCATCGCCTGTACCCTTTCCAGTCGTTGATAATCTTTCTTCAGCCACGGTCGCCAGGCCTGGACTGCGTACTCTAATTGAGACCGGACGAATGCCCCATAGGTTTTCCCGAATAGCTCTTTATCGATCTGCACAAATCCTCGCCTCAGCGCAAATAACATCCTTATCGCACTTTTGGCTGCCCTTTGACACTGTGATGATGGTTTCAGCGAGGAGGTCATTATGACGCCGAGGTTTTTCTGTATCACAACATTTGAAAGGGGCTGACCACCAAGGCCGTATTGAAAGGGATCGTCCTCCTTACTGGTCCGTCTGGTGAGGAGTCTCAGGACCACACATTTGTCCACATTAAAATTAAAAAGCCAGCGAGCTGACCAACTGTTTAGGCGGTTGAGACTGTCTTGAAGCGCGTACCTGTCTGCGTCAGATCTGATGGGTCTCCACAGCTTAACATCGTCAGCAAACATGATGGCGCTGCATCGCAGGTCGTCGACGCAGTCGTTAATGTAAACCAGGAATAGCAACGGCCCTAAGACGGAGCCCTGGGGTACACCACTTAAAACGGGGGTAGGGGTTGACCTTGAGGCCTCAATGCACACGGTTTGTGATCTCCCGCTAAGAGACTCCGTTATCCATGTCAGCAGCCTTCCTCTTATCCCAATTTCAGAAAGTTTGTAGATTAGGCGTTTGTGTGGGACGCTGTCTAACGCTTTCTTAAAGTCTGTGTAGATGACATCGACCCTACCATCCTCGTCCAGTGCGCGAGTCCATTGCTCCGTCGAGAGTAATAAACTGGAAAGGCAAGAGCGGTTCTGTCTGAAGCCGTGCTGCAGGTCTGAGAGTAAATGGCCCTGCTCCAGGAACTTCATTGTTGCTTTCTTAACTATGGCCTCCATTATTTTACAGCAGATACAGGTTAGACTAACAGGCCTGTAATTGTTAGCATTAGTGCGAGCCCCGCCCTTGTATATCGGAAAGATGTTTGCAGTCTTCCATTCCGATGGCAGTCTCCCCAATTCGAATGACGAGCGGAAGATATATGTCAGTGGTTTAGAGAGTTCATTCGCCAATTCTTTCAAGACTTTGGCCGGCATATTGTCCGGACCCGAGGACTTTGCTTCTTTGAGATTTTTCAGCTCCCTTTCCACGGCAGCTGCCGGGAAGAGTATGGAGTCAAGTACGGGACCAACAGTCTCAAGAGCATTGCCGGCACTGCGACAGCTCATTAGATTCTTCTACTAGATCAGACTTTATTGGCCTGACATGAGAAGCAGATGGATTCGTCGCAGTTTGTGAATTAAGTCACTTAAACTAAAACTCAAATTGACATATCCTTTGCCTTGCAAGTCGATTGAGACTCTAGGGTTTGCCAATTTCTACTGTTAGGACTGTGTGGCTTAGAAAAATTGGGATTATCTTTTGAGCAATGACTGTTTCTTGGAGATGCTGCAAAGCGGAAGATTGCACGTGAATCAGAAGTAATGTGTTCAGGTGAAAACCTAGATGGAAGTTAGGCCGCCGGAGATACCGGGAAAAATTGGCCAACGTTAGATGAGGGGCCACTCTCAGAAACAAATTGTAGATGAATGGAATCCTTGGATGGCTTTTTGTTTGCTGCTGAGGGGCAACTCTACGTTCCATCAGGAATTCATTCCGGCTAATAAAAAGCTCATTTCCTTCAAAATATTTAGGAGGACGCTAGCGGGGATGGAAAAGGGAGTCGATTTCTATTGACGAAAATAATTTGACAAAAATGGTCGGATCGTTGCTCCTTGATGAGACTCTCTGTGGCCTTAAAGTTAAGTCCACGAGAGTAAGGGAAATTGAAGGCCACACCGAGGGTTGTCTGTCTTTAGGAACATTGCACTTACATTTAAAGGATTTGCCAGATAGCTAGAATACGATTGAACATCCAATAGTACAAGCAAACCACTGTTTTGTGGGGCGACGTCGCGAACTATAATCTTTCATTAGGGTATAATTTCGTATATGCTGCTAGACTTGAACTAGGTTTTCTGAAGAGTTAATACAGAGAACAGTCTGTATCAGTTAAACTACTCCTGGCGATGCCTATAATCCATGGGGACATAGAAATACCAACATTTTACCGTAGTCGTCGATGACACTGAGGACGACATTCTCGGTCAGATAAATCATTTAAGATAGTTTTCCGGCCATAGAAACGCTGAACGGAGTTGTAACGCATCGAACTAAAATGCGTGTATGAATGTGGAAAGAACAGCATTCAAAGCGTATTACGTCTGTGATATAGATATGAATAAAGTGAAGGATAAAAAGCGGATATAACTGTGTTAGAAAGAATAACGTTACGTATAAAACCGCTGCATTCAGCGTGGGAAGTGGTCCCGACATGTCCGTTAGACTACCGGCTACGAATGCAGTGCTCGGGGCATCTGCATGAGGGGGTCCTGGCGTTGCTGACTAGAAAAAACAGCGAGAAGAGAGTGCAGTACAAGTGAATTTACCTGCCCCACCAACGCAGTCAAAACCATTGTTAGGACCTCACCTATGCGAGGTTGATGCAGTCTCATGTCCCCAATTATCTTTCTGGAAGACATCCTTGAAAGAGGGTATTACTCAGAGCTGAAGTTACAGGTCCCACCTTAATCTGATTAGGCTGACTGGACAAACTGTCAAATTATTTCCGTCTTCTCTCTGTTTCGCCAAATTTCGATGACCTACCACGCAATCCAACGTAACTAAATTTGGAAAATATTGATCAAGCATAATATCTGAACCCCATGCCCGCGTTACTCGTATAGGTCTTCACTGGGTCCATCGTCATGCGGATCCTCAGGTGTTGGTTTTGCTCCGGACCTGTATATCCAGGTCATGGGATAACGTTTGTTAGGAATGACTCCAAAGTACTTCCGGCATTATTCTAAATTGTTTAGGAATTCGTTTTCTGTCGGGGAAAGTGCCACAAAGCGTTTAAGCATAAACGGGCACCCCGCAAGACCAAATGGACTAAAACGTACAGGAAAATGGCCAAGAAAGAACTTAGCGACGACTTTGCCCAAACGTTTGAGCGGAAGCGAAATACTGCTCTAAGATATAGTCGCGACAATCTTTTGAACACATGTATGTATTTCGAGTTTTTTCTTACTTCTGTAGTGAATGCTATCAACTCTGTTGTCGCCATCAAAAATAAGCGCGAGAGCCTCTTCATTACCAAGCGTTTGAAGGTAGGAATGAATCTTCGCAAAGAGGAAGACAAGAAATTGGTCAAGACACATATGCACCTGATCAAAGCACCTAACGGTACGTTTTATTTTCGTCCTTATTTGTGCCCATTCAGCTACGAAGAAGGCTGAGGCTGAGAGGTCCGAGACCAAGGAGATAAGCAACCTTGATGTGGAAATGAACGATTTGGAAACCGAAATGG